CAAGCGTCGTTTCCCCTCCAACACTGGGAAGCGAACCCTGGGCCTGCCAGCGCGTGGAGTCTTTTTGGTTTGCTGGGAGAGTGAGTTCTAAATAAAGCGAATATCCACGGGAAATAGCCACGGACCTACTGGCCCTCAAACAGGAACACCCCAACCCCTGCCGTCGGCGCCCCCTAGTGGACACAATCTCCAGCTCCAGGCACTGTCCAGCCCGTCCTGGAAAAACCTTTCAGTTTGTTGTTCTCTGACTTTTACTAAAAACAGTTAGGGGGCTACCCCATGGTTGCTCCCACAATGCAAAGCAGGAGCTCCGGTGTGAAGTCCCTTCCGGGCTCTCCCTGACTTTACTTTACTCCATGCACGCCGGCTGGGTGGGGGGCATATGGTACGGGGTATGGAGCAGGGCTCCCGCGGCAGGCCCCGGAGTCTGAGCCATCCCCCGGCCTCTCAGGCCTTCCGTTTTAATGCTGATGAGAGAAAAGTCCTGGCAAACAGTGACCGGGAGCCTAGAAGGGCGATTCTGCCGAGTCACCATTTCCAAGACCCTACCAAACTTCAAGCTTGATATATCTCTTGCTGTGCTTATACAAAATGACATTGCTAGAAATATTGGAAGTAAATTTACTACAACTGTTTAAATGGATTGAGCTGGAGCGACAGCACAGCGGGTCTTGCACGCGGCTGATCTGGGTTCGATTCCTGCGCCCCTCTCGGAGAACCTGGCCAGCTACCAAGAGTATCTCGCCTGCATGGCAAAGCCTGGCAAGCTCCCCGTGATGTATTCGATATGCCGAAAACAGTAACAACAAGTCTCACAATATGTTGTGGGACGTTACTGGTGCCCGCTTGAGCAAATCGATGAACAACGGGAGGACAGTGCTACAGTGCCTACCTTAGTAAGAGGGCTTGTGTATTCGGTGGCCTGACATATGCTTTTTCTCTCAGCTCTCCTGAGATTTATACGTGTAGCACGAGAAAACAGCTGCACAATATGAGTCTTCAAAAAACCTTGACAATGAGATAGTAGCTTCGCATGATTGAAGCTTACCTAAAACAACGAAGGGTCATCTAGGTATGTGAAAAATCTTTTCTGGGGCCGGAGAGTTGGGGAGACTGGAGCGCTCGTGTTGGTTCCATGAGGCCCGCGTTCCATGGCTAGAACCAGGTGACCCCTGAGCACTGGCTGGTCTTTGCCCCACTCCACCGCTTAAGGAGGTATTTTCTCAGCTGAGTCTCATTCTTCCTCTTTGTTCAAGTGGGCAAGCCAAAAGTTTTACATTCTCCTTTGGATGATAGGAAAAGACAGGCCAGACAAGGTACCAAGAGGTGTGTGCCATCTCCACTCAGAAAGTTCCTGCTCTCATTTAAGCCAGTGATTCCAATCTAGTCGTGTATGAGGGTCCTAATGAACCCTGGCTGGTCATGTGCTGCCGGTATAAAATACGTGGCTCGGGGCTGGAGTGATAGCACAGCGGGGAGGGCGTTTGCCTTGCACACGGCCGACCCGAGTTCGATTCCCAGCATCCCATATGGTCCCCTGAACACCGCCAGGAGTGATTCCTGAGTGCAGAGCCAGAAGGAACCCCTGAGCATTGCTGGGTGTGACCCAAAAAGCAAAAACAAAATAAAATACGTGGCTGACTGGGACCAGGGAGATGGCTGCTCAGAGGGGTGGCCAGAGCCCTGGGTGGATCCTGGGCACCACCGTGAGTGGCTGCCAGCAGGAAGCTCGCAGGAAGTTGAGCCTGAAATGCTGTTACACCCACAAATGAACCTTAAACTCTTAAGCTGTCTTTTCCTTCTAAATGGGCAAGGCCTTGTCTAGGTGTATCTTAATTTAAAATTCCAACCTGAGGGGTCAGAGACAGTATGGTGGGTAGGGCACTTGTCTTAGATGCAATCAACTCAGGCTCAATCCCTGGCACCCTGGAAGGTTCCCGAGCCTGCCAGGAGTGATTCCTGAGCCAGGAGGTAGCCCTAAGGAGCCCCAAGATGCAGCCCCCAAATTCCTGCCTCTGGTGACTGGGGTGTTTTTCTTGCGTTTCAAATCTCGGACCTATACATGGTCCCCAAGCAGCGCCAGCGCCAGGCTTACTCCTGAGCACTGAGCCAGGAATAGGCCCCGAATACCCCAAGTCTGTCTCCACTACGCCCCAAATAAAATGAAGTGAGATGTCAGTCTCTGGGTCTGAGAGGCAACAGGGCGTGTGGCTGACTCTGGTTTGAACCCCAGCACCACCTCAGGGTCCCAGTCCCCTGAGCACCACAAGGGGTGCTCCTCCCCTCCTCAAAAATCATAAAATACAATTCCAACCTCTAATACCACCTGACTTCTCTTAACGGTGCGGTCCTGGAGTAGAATGGCTTTTTCCTCAAGGCAGGGAAGTCTCGAAAATTTAAACTGTTCTCGTAAGTGAGATGGAATCTGTAAATCTCCCACTCTCATGATTTCACCAGTGTCCAGAGGTCCCTGGGGGCTACAGAGTATGTGATAGCGAAGGCTCAGTGCTGAAGAAGACTGGCGAACAGCGCTGTCTTGGATTACACCAGGCCCTCGGAGAGCTGCAAAGTCCTACAATGCTGCCACTCTCCTTTTGTTTTTAAATATTCGGCCATTTTAGCCAGAATCTGGAAAACACCCAAGTGCCCGAGAACAGATGACTGGCTGAAGAAACTTTGGTACATCTACACAATGGAGTACTATGTTAGAAAAGACGAAGTCATGAAATTGACATACAAGTGGTACCACATGGAAAGTATCATGTTAAGGGAAATGAGTCAGAAAGAGCGGGATAGACACAGAAAGATTGCATTCATCTGGGGAACATAAAGTAACAAAATAGGAAACTAACACCCAAGTATGGCAGAGATTAGTACCAGGAATTTTACTCAATGACCCGGAGGACAACCACACATGTTAGGGGAAGGGGAAGCTCAGAAAGACAAGGGAACACCAAATAAAGGGTGTTGGGAGGATCCGCCCAGAATGGGAGAAGCACGCTGAAAGTAGACTCTAGACCGAACATGACTGCCACTCAAGGCCTCTCTTGCAAACCACAACACCCAGTAAGAGAGAGAGAACAAAAGGGAGTGCCCTGCCACAGAGGCAGGGTGGGAGGGGGGTTGGGGGGTGGGAGGGATGCTGGGACCCGTGGTGGTGGAGGATGGGCACTGGTGGAGGGATGGGTACTTGATCATTGTATAACTGAAACCCAAGCACGAAAATTTGTAAGTCTGCAACTGTACCTCATGGTGTCTCACTAATTAAAATTTTTTAAAAATTCTGCCATTTTATACACACACAAACCGTTTACTCCTGCACAGGAGACCGAGTACAGTGGGGGTGAGGAGCTTGCCTTGCATGCAGCCCACCCAGGTTGGATGGTGGTCCCCCCCACGAGTCCCAGGACCACCAAGAGTGATCGGTGAGCACAGCGCCAGGAGCAGCCCCCAACAGGGCCAGGTGTGCCTCCACCCCACCCCCCCAGAAGTTAATTTGCTAACATGCACTAAATTAGCACTAAGCTTTTTTTTAAACAAGGAAGAATTTTTACAACGTTTAGTTTACTTCCTAATAGCCTTCCCCCCCAACCCCCCCTACCCCCACCCCCACCCCCACCCCCACCCAACTAAAACGCTCTCTGGAAGTCCTCAACCATGGTTAGACTGTGAAAGAGGCGTCAAGGGGCAAAAAGCTTGAAAACTGGTGGAACTTTCTGCCTTTCCTCCAAAGACCAGAACCGAGGCCGTCCAACCTCGGGGATGGGCGGCTGGAGAGGAATGCACAGGGGCAAGGGCGCTCGCGGAGCCCCTTCACCCCCAGCGCCCAGGGACCACCTGCACCGTAGGGGTGACCCCCCCCCACGCCCCCACCAATAACCACATCAATCTCCGCATCTCCCAGCACGTGGCTGCTGTCAATCTCAATCGGCCCCCGTGGGGAGTGGCCAAGGGTCCCTCAGCCGCTAAGCCAATGCTCTGCAAGGTCAGGGGGCTGGAGCGATAGCACAGCGGGAAGGGGGTTTGCCTTGCACGCGGCGGCCGACCCCGGTTCGAGTCCCAGCATCCCATGTGGTCCCCGGAGCAGGGCCAGGAGTGATTCCTGAGTGCAGAGCCAGGAGGAACCCCTGAGCATCACCGGTGCGACCCCAAAAGCCATCACCATCGTCATCACCAGGTGTGACCCAAGAAGATGTCATCATCCTCATCATTCTCATCCTCATCCTCGCCAGGTCAAGGAGGGCGTTTGCTTTGCACGCGGCAGACCCGGGTTCGAGTCCCAGCATCCCATGTGGTCCCCGGAGCAAGGCCAGGAGTGATTCCTGAGTGAAGAGCCAGGAGGAACCCCTGTGCATCGCTGGGTGTGATCCAAAAAGCACACACACACAAAGGAATCACGGGGCTGGAGCAATAGCACAGCGGGTAGGGCGTTTGCCTTGCACGCGGCTGACCCGGGTTCGATTCCCAGCATCCCATGTGGTCCCCAGAGCAGGGCCAGGAGTGATCCCTGAGTGCAGATCCAGGAGTAACCTCTGTGCATCGCCGGGTGGGCCCCAAAAAGCAATCCTCCTCCTGCCAGGTCAGTCCCCCGTCCTCCCCGCCTACGTGAGGGGCGGGCGGACCTCCCGACGTCCAGCGTCCTCCCCAGCACCTGCACCGGGGCTCGAACCCGGGCCGCCCGCCGCGTGCAAGGCCGGCCAGCCCCCGCGCTCTGCCGTCGCCGGGACCCTGCAGCTCGGACACTCGGACCCGCCTCCGGACCCAGCTTCGCCCCGACGCCTCCAACGACTTCACGTCTTGCCCCGCTCGAGGCCCATTTAAATCCCTTCTAAAAGCCCCTTTCCCGCCACGCTCCTGCAAACCCTCGGACCCGAGCACTGCCGTAAGCGCGGGGGGAGCCTCCCGGCATTCGGGCGCTCTGCAGCCGGGCCGGGCCGGACCGGACCGGGCCAGGCCGAGCGTCCGGGTCGGGCTCCCGGCGGCCGCTGCACGCCCAGTACCTGCCAGAGGCGCCGGCACGCCGCGCCCAGCGCCGTCCGCGCCGCCATCTTCCCTTCCCGGCCTCCCCGGATCGCTTCCGGGTCACAGCCACGCCCCCCCGACCATAGAGTGCAGGCCGGGAGCGACGCTCTTGTCTTCCGGCCCCGCGACAACCATAGAGACGGCGCTTCCGTGCCTTGCCCTGGAGGGCGTGGAGGACTGAGCGCACCTCCGGGCGATGCTCAACTTGGTGCGGTGCTCCCGCAGCACCGAGTTAACAAATCCGGTTGGGGTTTGACCCTTTGCAACGTGCCGAGCTCGCTTCGTGTTTCCCGTTTTGGTGGTGGCGTGACCAAATGCAGACTTGGAAAAAAAAAAATAACAAGCTAGACTAGTTGATAGCGAGGTTTTTTGGAGCCGTGGAGTTCCTGGTGGGTTTGCCTAAATTTCCAAAAATTTTAGGCGACGTATATGCATTTCACGAAAAGAAAAATAAAAGCCTGCCACTGCCAGTGAGTCCAGTCCGTACCCTTTGCCTCGTTGTGATAGCCTTATAGTTAGGGTGTTAATCCTACCTTCCTCCACTGGCATTTTTGTGTTCCACTATCCTGTGCCCGCCTCTATGCTACTGACCCTCCCAACCCCCTGTTTGCTATGTCATGCCAGTATTTTAGATTATTATTTATTTTTTTTTCTTTTTCTTTTTGGGTCACAGCCAGAGATGCACAGGGGTTACTCCTGGCTCTGCACTCAGGAGTTACTCCTGGCAGTGCTCAGGGGACCACATGGGATGCTGGGAATCGAACCCAGGTCGGCCACAGCAAGGCAAACGCCCTCCCCGCTATGCTATAGCTCCAGCCTCCAAGACTTTTAGAAGTTTCAATGACTGCCTTAAGCTAGGACACTAGCCAAAGAAGAGTTGAAACCAGAAAATGACAATGTCTATCATAATTTAATTCCGACTAACAAGGCTTCCTAGTGGGAGTCTCCATAATGAAAGTAGTTTCTTTCCATTTATGCGATGTTCTAGCTTTATTTCCCCCAAGTGCCCATATAAGCCATTTAGCATAACGAAACACTCTGGATTTATAAGGGGAAGATCGAGGTTCTATACTCAGGTTTCCCACTTGACCACATGAGTTTGGGCAATGCACTTCTCCACCCTGAGCCTTGATTTTCTCATGTCCGTTAGAAATGAAAATAGCTCCGACTTTAAATAATAACTGTGAGGATTAAGTGAGATACTGATAATGTTTTTTCCGATGCTGATAGATGATACCATAATGCAAAATAAAAAGTTAGCCACTATTTGTAACATGGGGTTATTTCCTCCACACCTGCCTCAAAACTCATTCATTCATTCATTATCCTGTTATTCGTCGATTGCCTCGAGCAGGCCCCAGTAATGTCTCTTTCATCCTAGCCCTGAGATTATATTCAAGGCTCTTTAGGAGAATGAGACCCATCATTGTTACTGGTATTTGGCATATTGGGTACGCCAAGGGGAGTTTGTCAGACTCTGCCCTGTGGGCAGGCTACATTCAATAGCCTGCAAGTTTGTCCAAAGTAGGAATGAGATAATAAGATGTCATAAAAAGATGTCCTGGTAAGATGTCACGCGGCCGCATTTGCGGCCGCGTGGTTCCGGGAGCTGGGTTTTATAGTCTCTGAGTCTTGGCTGTTGATGGGATTACACCTGGCGCCAGGGGGCCAGGTGGTGGGTATGACCCCCGCCTACTGGAATTTGGAGGATCTGGGTGGAGGATGCTCGACTCCAATCCGAGTAGGCTTGCCTCAAAACGTTATTGTGAAAATTAAAAGCGAATAGATGTTTGGGTCCAGAGAGAGCCAACAGCGGTTAAGGCACTTGCTTGCACCCAACTTATCACGGTCACCATAATGGTTAGCACTGGGGCATCATCACGGATGGTTTCTGCTCAATGGATCAGGGTGTGGCCCCTAAGTGCTGTCAGGAGTTGGCCAGACTCCCTCAAAAATAAAACGTGAATAGATTTGGAGCTAGAGAGATAGCTCAAAGGGTTGGAGTGTGTGCTTGCTTTGCATGCTGAAGACCTGGGATTGATCTCCTGAGCACCGCAGGGAGTAGCCTAACACTGAACCGAAAGCAGCGTGAGTAGCTCCTGAGCACTACAAGGTGTGCACATGAACAAGAGGGGGAAGAGAGAATAGATCAAATATCACGATCACGATCACGACCATCCTGTTGTTCGTCGATTGCCTCGAGCAGGCCCCAGTAACGTCTCCTTCGTCCTAGCCCTGAGATTTTTTTTAAAAGTGCCATATTCAAGGCTCTTTCAGGGTGAGGAGAACGGGACCCATCATTGTTACTGGCATTTGGCATATCGGGTACGCCACGGGGAGTTTGCCAGACTCTGCCGTGTGGGCAGGCTACATTCGGTAGCCTGCCAGTTTGTCCAAAGTAGGAATGAGATAATAAAATGTCGCGCGGTCACAAATGCGGCCGCACGCTTCCTGGAGCTGGGTTTTATAGTCTCTGGGTCTTGGCCGTTGATGGGATTACACGGCGCCAGGGGGCCAGGTGGTGGGTGTGACCCCTGCCTACTGGAAGATGGAGGATCTGGGTGGAGGATGCTCAGCCCCGATCCGAGCAGGCTTGGAGATCTCAGCCCTGGGACCCGCATGCCTTTGTTCCTCTGCTGGTACCTTCATGCGTGTGGAGATCAAATATATATATATATATATGTATATATATAATTATTGTTATTATTTCCCCTCGGAAAGCCTGGCAAGCTACTCAGAGTATCCCACCCACATGGCAGAGCCTAGCAAGGTCCCCATGGTGTATTCGATATGCCAAAGACAGTAACAATAACGGGTCTGATTCCCCTGACCCTCCAATACATTGGGAAAGACAAGTAGGAGAGGCTGCTAAAATCTCAGGGCTGGTACGAATGGAGACATTACTGGTGCCCACTTGAGCAAATCGATGAACAATGAGATGACAGTGATACAGTGATTGTTATTCTTTTTTTTTTAATTTTTATTAGTGAGACACCATGAGGTACAGTTGTAGACTTACAAATTTTTGTGCTTGGGTTTCAATTATACAGTGATCAAATACCCATCCCTCCACCAGTGCCCATTCTCCACCACCATGGGTCCCAGTATTCCTCCCACCCCCCATCCCCCCCATCCCACCCTGCCTCTGTGGCAGGGCATTCCCTTGTGTTCTCTCTCTCCTTTTGGGTGCTGTGGTCTGCAACAGAGGCATTGAGTGGCAATCATGTTCCGTCCACAGTCTACTCTCAGCACGAATCTCCCATCCTGGGAGGATCCTCCCAACACCCTTTATTTGGTGCTCCCTTCTCTCTCTGAGCTGCCTTTTCCTCTAGCATGTATGGCTGACCTCCAAGCCATGGAGCAAAATTCCTGGTACTAATCTCGGCCATTCTTGGGTGTTGGTCTCCTATTTTGTTACTTTATGTTCCCCAGATGAATGCAGTGATTGTTATTCTTAACAATAATAATAATAATTTTTTTCTTTGGGTTTGGACCACACCTGGCAGTTCTCAGGGCTCCTGGCTCTGTGTTCAGGGATCACTCCTGGTGGCGCTCAGGGGACCACACGTGGTACTGGGGATTAAACCTGTGTCAGCTGCATTCAAGGCACACGCCCTACCTGCTGTCCTGTTGCTCTGGGCCCAAATTGATGTGTTCTATTACATCCAATCATCCAATTACACTTGCTGTGCAGAAGCAAACATTTGGTTTTCTTATCCCCCCCCACAAGTGTGATGCTATTTTGCTGGCTTAGAGGACTGAAAAAGGGAAAAAATATTTGCCCCAAATGACATCAATTGACAACGGAGCCCAGACACCAGTTTCCCGGCCTTTCAGAGCAGTCTGTCTGCTGGCCCGTGTGGAGGTGTGGCAGGGACACCCAGAGAGGTTCTGGGAACACGCCTCTTGCCGGTGTCTCCCTCAGCTGCTCTTCCCAGACCCATCTGTGAAAGCTTCCCACAGCCCCTTTGCCGGAACCGGGCTCCTCTGGGCATTGTGACCTTGACGTTGGCTGGTGTCTCTCAGCGCCACAGCTGCTTTGAAGTGAGCGTCAGTGCCCCTGAGTGGTGCAACAGTGGCATCTCCGCAGCCCTCTGCCTGCTTTGAGTGGCCTCTGCGTGGTGGTGGCCTGAAGCTTGCGCCTCTCACCGAAGCGACCTCCTGTGACCCTCACAAGAGGGCCTCAGTAGTATCCTGGCTTTGATCACTTCATCACTTTACTTCCCGTTACTCATCGATTTGTTTGAGCGGGAGCTCCAGAAACGTTTCCATTCGTCCCTGTCGCGTGCTAGTGTAGCCCAATGGCATCTGCTCGTTCTAGGAACACGAAGAGCCTCAAACTGATCATTCAGGGTCTTGACGAAGAAGTCTGAACATCTCGTAGGAGGGCGTCCACATGGTTTTTTGATGTCCCATGGAATCCAGTCGGTAACAGCTCTAGTCCAGCGGTCGTCTCCAAATCTCATTACGTGTCCAGCCCATCTGATTTTTGATGCCTTGGCAAATGAGACAGCGTCCCTGATTCTTGGTCGTCAACCGAGGTTGGAACTCTGAATTCTTTCCCTCATTTGAGTAAAGCGGGTTACTCCAAGCATAGCTCTTTCGATTCCTCTTTGGGAGACCCGAATAGCGTTCTCATCCTCTTTTCATAGGGCCCAGGTCTCTGAGGTGTATGTTAATGCAGGAAGAACAGTGGAATCAAAGAGATGTGCCCGGAGTCGGAGGTTCTTCGTCCTCTTAGCTATTTCTTCGACGCTCTTGAAGGCATTCCAAGCCGCTCTCCTCCTCCTGCGCAACTCAGGTGCCAGGTCATTCGTCATGTTGACTTCTCGACCTAGGTACACATTCGGAGATGGTCGTTCCGTTAAGAGCGAACGGAGCGTCAGGAACGAGGCTGTTTCTCATAAACATTGTCTTCGTATCCTGGCTTTATAGGAGGGGAAACGGAGGCTTGGAGAGGAAATGATGCCTCCCAAGGCGGGATGGGGATGTTGCTCAGACACGGAACGTCTGAAGCTGCGTGAAACCCTAGGT